GACAACTGGACGAGCTGCGCAAAACTTCCCTTGCCCGGATCATATGCGACAACGCCGACTCCCTGCCGAATTCCCAGCCTTTCGTCATGCGTACTGTCGGCCCTGGCAACAAGCGCGTGCCGTGCGGCTCCATCCCTGGGCCGGACTTATCCTCGTGGCGAGACGACGGCCAGCCGGCCACAAGAGCGAACGCGCCGTCAACACGTCTGGAGGCCCACATCACATCAGGCCACGTGCATTCTGACACAGGATCTGTCCTGTGGGATGGACATACCCCACTGCCACTGCCTGCTCGATCCAGTTTCAGGTGCCTCTGGTCTGGCACTGTAAGAGCCGACTCTCTTCATGGCATTTTCTCACTGCAGCATGGACCCCAGCAGTGGATGAACGGACAGTTCTTCTTCCAGATATTCTTGGATTGGTTTCAGTCAGGACCCTGGGAAATTTCAGGCACATTCATGTCACCAATCTACTTCAAGGAAGTGGGCCAGTTCAGAGTACCAGCATCTCACCCACCATCTGTTGAGCTTTCTGGGAACTTCTCATTAAATCCAAGTGTTCAAACCACATCAAAGCCAGTAGTAATGCCTGTTGTCCTTGAAGGAGCATATTCCGGTGATAGAACGGTGTTCTGGTGGTCTGGGAGCATTATATTAACACTCCCCAGTTCGTCTCAGTATCGGGTCGAGACGAACGGAAAATTTTCTCAGGAAAGTGAGACAGATAACACAAGCTCTACAGTTGAAAATTCAGAAAGAGTTTGGAATTAAAAAGGAACTGCATTAGCAAAGTGACCACACTGAGGGGCACACACAGACACCGTGACGTGGAATGCTGGCAGTGACCGAGGTGAAGCAGACACGTGAAGGGCAGTTTCAATGAACAAATCTAATTTTCAGTCTGTGCCCATTTCAATGACACAAAACATGACAATTCAGCATCGTAGTCTGAGACCGAACCACAAAGCATCTCAATTTAAACACCATAATTGAAGCTCAGTTCACTACGTACACAGTATGGTGCAAGCCTACAAACCATCAAGCCCCATCAGACTGCGTAGCACATCTTGAAATTTCAACTCTTTACTCAGCGACATGGTTAATAAATTCTACGTCTGAATGCAGACCAGACTATCAAAGCCACCTGCCAAATTTTAATGCCCAAAATACAAATCTAAGCTACTTTCTTATTAAGTAGTACAATGAGTTGCATAAATTACAGTATTTCCAAGAAATGTTCTGGTATGTCCGGTCTAACTTTTATTCTTTCAACCGGGCATAAACCATTATGAGACGTAAATGCAGAAAAATTGTGATATGAATTCACGTTGCAAAGTATATCATGTGTGTGCAAAAAGTATGATCATTTGCTGCATTTGTAATTCCTGAACACCCTGACTTTTAAAAATCTGAATTATTAAATTAAGCACTTACTGCTGGCTCACGGACCAGATTAAATGGCCTTACGAGAGAGTCCCGATATAAAGATGACTGAAATGTTGGAAATAAAGTAACCATCTTAAACTAATTTTTGTGTACTAGTAATTCTGTCCAAAAAACAAACATATAAACAAATACTTTTATGGATATAAAAATATATATATAAATATGTAAAATACAATGAGAAATATGAGTCACAGCAGACGAGCGTGTTTGGCTGGATAAATTCTGTAAAAAAAGGTTATTCGACATAAAAGATCAATACTGCCAACATCAATTACTAAAATGAAATTCACTCAAAAACAGAAGATACTTCCTACAGGACTCGTATGCTCTTGATATACAGGGAAAGCTGATACTAAAAATACAAGTTAAATAGTGCAAATGATGTTTCACCTGTTTTCCCATTTCTCCATCCAAACTAGCGACGTGATCTGACCATCGTAATTTACCCCTAAAAACCTCCACGTCAGCAGTGGACCAGGCAGGAGCAGTGTCTTTAGGCTGTTCGTAGGACATTGCGGTCTTGTTCGGCTCATAGGCCCTACAGCAGTGGCACACAAGTTCCCCTGCAACTCGATCTTTCATTGCTGCGGAACACAGCAGCTTAACCACATTATGTTGTAACAATTACTGAACTCCAAATGTTAAGCTAAGTATCATTACAGGATCAAGTCAAGGAGGACGAGATGGGTGGAGCACGCGACACGTACAGATGAGAAACATCCAAAATCACATTTTGAGAACGCGAAGGAAAAAGATCACTTGGGTGGGTGATATTAAAATACAGGGACTGGATTCATCCGCCTCAAAGGACAGTGATGAGGGCCGGCTCCTGTGAACATGGCAGAGGTCGCGCGAGTAGTCGTGGCACCTAAATGCGCGACGTGTAAGCCGAGAGAGGGCGGGTGCAACTCGTACAACCAAAATCAGTCCTTTTCGCAAGTGCCAGCACATCTCTAAGGAACATACACATTTTGCACAATGCAGAGAATTTCTTGAGAAACTCAGAAATTATAAACTTCTCAAGGAGAACTCTGCTGTATGCAGATGGTTAAAGGATGTGAAGATTATAATTACAGGAATGTAAATGATGATTGCAAAGATGTGGAATGAAGCAATCATGTCATACAGATTCAAGCCTTGGCGATTCTTGAACAATGAAGGGTAATGAGAATAGTAAGGTTATGGCATTCATACCAAGTTTCATGAAAATTCATCTTTTAGGGAAAAGGTAACAAGAAGAAGAAGAGCACCTGTGAGGTAATGTGTTCCACAGTGTACCAACACAACAGACTAAAATTTACAATTTCTTACACTTTATTACACAAGGACAGGTTACATCTGAACTATCATCATGATCTGCGGTATTCACAAAACTACAAAACAACGGCAGTACAAATTCTGAGACTAAGTACCAATACTCCAATATTTTCTTATTCTTTTTTTTTTTTGTACTGTAAGCTCACTTTTAGATATCAGCTTCCTTTTTTCCTTCTTCTTCTTCGTTATCTAAACCGTACGTTTAAACCTGACCTCAGTGATCCATCTATTTTGTGTGCTGTACATGACACATCCCACGTCTTTCTGAAATAAACACGTACGTTCAAAAGAAACATTCAAAATGTTTTCGGAGAGAATCGGCCAACCGTGAGGTGTTCCCGTGTAGATCACGGGCAGAAAATCATGCAGATGTATAATCGTGGATTTAATAAAAAGAATAAGCATTCATGATTTTATGTTGGCCAATTCCACAGAAAAACGTATTAACAAAACAATAACTATATACTTTCCTAATTACAGCCAGGAGTCAAGGAGATCCCATTCCATACCTTGTGAACACATGTGCTGCTCTCTGTGTGGCAGTGTTCAGCAGAAATACAAAAAATGGCAGTGACTCAACTACTAAATCGGGTCATCCCTACATCTGTCATCATTACAACAACAACAATAATAATAATAATAATTAATAATAATAATATTATAAAATATTGAAAACCCCCACTGTAGTCTCCATCGTGGAATGAAAAATACAGCTAAATGTTTACAGCGTAACATCAGGATTTGGTCAGTTGCTCTCACCGGCAGGTACACAGTCATGCTCGCTCTCACTCGATTGATTGCTCGACTCTCGATGCGTACTGGCACACTGAGGGAAGCTTTCTATACGCACACTCGACCTTAAAATATTTTTGCCAATATATAATTTCATTAAAAAAAAGGAAGAACAACAAAACAAAAATTAACAAAAACCTTGCTAGATTTCGATGCTGCATCTGTACAGAATAATAAATAATGTGGCAGTGGTGGTAACACGACAGCCTCTAACCATCATCATGTCTTGAGCAAGGTGTTACGTAACATGGGGTGGCAGCACTGTTAGCAGGCAGTACATTATGGTTGGCAGTGATGACCCACGCTAGTGAGGCCAGGCCTGGCCGGCCATGTCTTGTGGGGTGGCATAGTTTGAGCCATAGCGTTCCCAGTTGTGGCCAGATCGATATCGCGGGTGATGGTGGTATCGAGGGCTGGGGGGTGGCAGTGAAGTGTTCACCATATGAGGGGGAGGCACAGAGAAATCAGGTGGGATTGGGGCCGTGTTCTTGCTGTTGTGCCATTCCCAGTCCTTGCCCTTGGGGCGGAACTTGCCGCCAGTCTTGCCCCAGTGGCCACTGCTACTCCAGTTCTCTCGGTGGAAGAACTTCTTCTTGAAATGATGCTTGTGTTCCTGTGAGTCAGGGCGCTGGTATTTGAGTGGGACGGATGGGGGCAGTGGTGGTGGGGGAGGACTGCAGGACTCGCCATTGGTTGACAATAAACTTGTCCCTGCAGAAACTGGACTGTAGGGTCCGTCTAGGGGTGCTGGGCTGAAATGTGGACCTAGTGACACAGGGAGGTGCTCATCAGCTGATGATGATGGTGATGGTGTTCTGGGAGGGCCTATAGTGTCATCTATAAGTGGAGGTTCCAGGATGGGGGGAGAATCACGTCCTACATGGTCAGGGGATGGTTTTGATGCTGGTGTCTTAAAGAGGCGAGGCATCTTCAGACCCGGACTGCTCCCTCCCATATTAGATGGGGAGCGCTTCTTGGCAGGGGTTGGTGCAGAGGGTGGTGGAGGTGGGTCACCATGACCTATGCCACTGTCAGGGCTGGTGTTGCAGCTGGCAGCAGAGTCCCCACCACGGGGAGAGGCACCCTCAGTGCTGCGACGTCGCTTGTCTAGTTCAGTAGAAGCAAACGACATAAGACGATCAAAGCCACTGCTGATCTTGTCTTGCCACTTGTCCACTTTGCGCACTCCCACCTCATCGTCCTCACCATCTGTCGACACACAAATGAATCAGTACATGTGCCAACTTGGCATTATAGCAGTTATTCAGTAGCTCGTAACATTGTTCAAGTGTTCACTGTATGTTCACCTCCAAAAATAGTACAAGATTTTTGTGGATCTTGTTATTAGAGACGTAGATTGCACACAGCCAAGAAAATTTGTCTGGTCCACACAGGTTCAAAATAATGCAACCTTATGTGAAGCACAAATAAACCTTTAGAAATCTCCTGAAAAACAAATCATCACTCAGATAGCTGATACAGGTTCAAGAATAAGTACAGCTCATCAAAACAATGATTGTTATTTTGAACACTTTCTGTATGATGTATCTTTAACAAAATGCAGGGAAAATAACTAATGTCTATGAAATATGGCTTCCACAAGAGTCTGTGGCAGTAGATCTGTTATCTCCAATAAACATAAAGGCCACTGTGATATGGAAAGTCTCAATAACACAATTAAAAACAACTTTCATGCACTCTTCAGAAAGAATTCTTCTAATGGACATTCACCACCTCACTGAGGAGCCTCACTGCACCATTATCTAGCACAGAGACTCAGGACTCTGTCACTACTGATAGCCTGAAATAACTTAATTTTAACCAACAAGTGTTGCCAATTTCCATCACTCGTGTATGTCACCATTTATAGGAATAGGAATGCTTCACAAATAGCCTGTAATTGCAGAAGCTCCAAGATTGAGTACACCAGAACATTCTGTAGCATTAAATTTTAAATTAAATTTTATATTAAATTTTATCCCTCCTATGTTCTATGTCAAACAACAAATCACATTTCCATCTAATGCCTTAGAGGCTGAAACTGGACCCAATGGGTTCAAATGATGAACTGTTCTTACACAACACATTAGCAAGATCCATTCTGAGACGCAACAAACAGCCGGCAAGGCCACTGTAACAGACTGATACTAAGAATGCACCTGCCTTGCTGATCCCCAGGACAGACAGCAGGATTTGAACCCACAACCAACGCACTACTGACATGTGAGAAGCAAGCATGCTGCTGCTACCTGTAACAGGCCATGCAACTACTGCAAACGCTTCATACAGCATCGTGTTTCAACATCGTGGTAATCCGCGTATCCAAGTACTGCACACCCCAAAACTACAGATTAATCGTGACATTCCACACTGTGACTCTGTACAGTCTTGTGGTTGCGTACCAGTGTTTCTAACAAATGCTATCACCTCCACACTATTACACCCTGAAGATGGAGGTGATATGATCCTTTGAAATGTTGGTGACCACCAACATGACTGCCCAGCATCAGAACCAGAAGACTGTGACAATCACATGCTCTGTAATTTAAAGGCTTAAAACACTGGCCACACACAGACGGCCAAAATACACAGAGTTCTCTATTTCCACAATGTCTAGCTCTAAACAAACAGAAGACACATCTAATTTTCATTTCTGTCAAATAGGGAGCAACACTGACCTTGTCAATGTGTACGTTGGGACATACTGGTAAAATTAAAGTAAGGTAACATTCCATTCTCTCAGTCTGTACAAGTTACATATGTATTTTAATGGTTTGTACGAAAATATCTGCGTTCTACTCTGAGAACCAAATGAAACCCATAACAGAGTCCATGAGCATTACGTGAAGTTATAAACATGAAAGCATGAGGTATGCGCCCTACAAAGGGCTAAATCAAAACGTGACTGTTTATTTTTATTTCCGCTTTGAGGCCAAGCTTTAAAGTTTCAGTATTGCCCTGTCCTTTCAGAACAAGAAATCATCAGTGAAACACAGGGCACAGGAATAAGCTATATCAAGTGCATACATGAGGAACAGTAACGAAGTGAGGGAGTCACTGACAAGAGACTGCTATAAAATGTGCGTGTAATTCTCATCTGAAAAGCAAACTGTATTCACATCAGCCATTCTGCAAGTGAGACCCACTCATAAAATGTGTACATACTCGTTTTGTTTGAATGAGAATCGGCGATGACACCGCATCTCTCGGATCCGCCCACCTCGCTCCAACAACGCATGCGCCAAAAAGAGGCTAACTGACCTCAAGACTTAGAATTGTTATTACTTAGCAACATTCACACAGTGCAATCAGCCACAGAGAAAGCAGTGCAATTATTAAGGCAAAGGATGTACTTCTCAAATCCACCACCAAATTCTGTCTGAATCTGTAGTTTTCAATAAAAACCTCAACACTGTGGCTGAAAATGGGTCACTTGACATCGGAAGTACAGCAGCCACTGAACGACACTTTCGCGTCCGAACAATCGATTCTCTCGAAACCTTGCCGATCCATCAACATCTCTTCTTTGGCACCATCCCGTCAATTTCAGTCGAGAAGAATTAAAACAGCGAATTCAGAAGTAAGGAATGACATTCGCTATGGTTCACTCTTCAAAACAGAGTGCTTCTGCAGAGTAAGCTCACTTAACTAACTCCCAGTCTCAAGTGGCTTGACTGTACTCCTTTCCACTCTTGTTCAAGCGAGGTGCAGTGACCCAAGGTGCGGGTGGGTGGTACTGATACTTACCAGGTGTGCTGACTTGCCTAAATGACTGAGCCTACTGACTACAGTGCCTACGAGTGCACCTCCCCCTCCACAACACTGTGCTGCCTAGGGATGCAAAGCAGAATTACTCATCACAACAACAAACAACAACAACAACAAGGCTTGCCCCCCCCCCACCCCACCCCAACTACACAGTGCATTTCTCCAAGCAATGGCATTCCATAATTCATAATCACCCGTACAATCTAAAGATGGAAATGGAAGAATGTGTTTATGGCCTGTTTAAGTAACTACAAATGTATGGAAGGACTGAGGAAAACCACAATAAACCTTAGCTTAGTTGTCTGACGGAGATGCCTAAATGATTACAGCTGCTGTTGGTTTAGTATGGTTAAATTGAAGTCAGAAGCGCAGACTATATAGCACTGAACGATAGGATGACTCATAAATAACTAATTGGAAAGGATATGGAAAGAAGAAATTGTGACATTATTTAAGGCACTAACCCAAGGAATTTTCCTGGAGGGACTGAGGAAAACCATGAAAAACCACAGTCAGGATAGGACCCTCACTAAATGGAAGGAATATGTAAACATTTGGTGATGCGGAAGACATTATAATAGCCACCACATTTTTAAATGTTTCTGACAGAGGATTTCTTGATCAGTGCGATAACTACAGAGTGCTCGAGATGCCCCTTCAACACGAGTCATCGTCAGTCTGGATTATTAAGAGCCAAATCCTTCCAAGTGTAAAAATGTGATGCCCGTAAACTATGGCTCAAACTGCCTGCAACGGGACTACAAGTGTTCCCCCTGGAGACTCGCACTGCACACTTTTGCCCCGCAACCACAACCATAGCCACCAGACCTTTCTACTGCTTGGAGATTGGTTGTTCCCTGCATGCTCTCATAGTTGCGTGGACCCTGGAACTGAGCCGTGGTCATCCAGAGTGCACTCTACCACCTTATCACAACTTCACATACATACAACAGCATATTTTAACAGGCAAAATAAATATCGACGAGTGGCAATGAGACTGTCCCGTGAAATCATTTGGGGTGGGGTGGGGGTGAGTGGGAGGAGCCAAAATTATTCATGCACAATTACAAGTATGCTACACTGCTTGGTGGTGGTATTAATACAAAGACAAAGCAGCTAGGTGCTTGCTGGGTGGCGGATCGTTCCGACTTGCAGGTGACCACTTAAATCAGCTTTCATACAGGCCCTTGGCAAGCAACCATTCGCTCGGATTGGAAACAAATCGGAAAATATCCGAAGAAGCTGATGCATCGATGTTTTAGTTAGGAAATGTCCGTTGCGGCCATCACAGAGTGTTCTTATGTGCCCTTCGACCGGCACAAGAGTGACCGTGGCTACCAAACATTACATTACACTAGGGATGAAAAGACAAACCCAGTTTTTGAATGAGTTAACTGGAATGCTCACCAAATAACGTAGATAAATTACTAAGTAATGCATGAACACTTTTATATGTAATTCACCTGCTTAGGTCCAAACGTCTCAGCACCCTGCCACCCCAGGAACAAAAGCAACCAGACGTATTTGCTGACGAACCAACTACACCCTGTAATTTGGAATGCACCCTACCACAACTTCCTACTTTGAGGTTTCCTCATTCCTTAAGCATAAATGTAAGGGACGCGATTCGACCCATCTTGATTTCATCTGATCAGCCTGCAAGACGAAGCAGTCCCCACACTGGCCACCACACATGCAAACCACCAGCCACAAACCAACCCAACAACTAAATACCTAACTACTGCCCATACCTTCCTCTCTGTCCTCAATGTGCCTCTGTTCAGGCAGATCTTCTATGGGTGGCACGGGCGTTGACTTCCCAGAGTTCAACTCTGGAGATGAGATGGCACTGATGGCCAGGGGTTGGCTGGCATTTGTCACCACTGCTGACACGGAGGAAACGCCACCATCCATCTCTCCAAGCATCATGCCATTCTCCAAAAGCTGTTTCTTGTGTGAGCGAGTAGGGCCCTGGATCACTGGTGACGCACGCTTCAAGCTGCCATTGTGGTAATGATGACCCATCCTCCCAAACGCATCTTCAGCACCGTCTGACACCTTCACGCCATCGATCGCCTCTGTCTTAACAACGTCCGTGGCGGGCGCCAGAGCCGAGGGCCCCGACGTAGATGCGGCAACACGACTCATTTCTCCACGTTCTTCAAATCTCTGGTCCATGACCATACGACAATCCTCCATCTTTCCATCACTATGATTCAACTTTGTTGATTCTGTTCTCTGGTGACGATGCCTGTCATCATACATCATGCAGTCTGAGTGCCGGACTGTCCGCTCATCAGCCTCCTCCTTGACGACCAATGTTTCCTGACCAGGCTTCGAGCTGCCTTCCTGGCTCCCTACTATTCTAGCATGCAGTGTCGCGGCGAGGCCCTCCACCGGGCCAAAAGACTCTGAACCACTTCTAGCATACTGAGGCTTGCTCACAGACACTTCAGTTACAGCCACAGTAGACGGAGGCTTGTGATCAGCTACTGTGCTCATAATGATGAGGGGCTTTGTGTCTGAGAAGTATGACTCGTGATAGGGTTTGATGTCTGCCCGTGGCAGCTGCACTGGGGTATAGCCTCCTTCAATGCATGATGTCGCATACCGACACGAAGGTGACAAAGTTGTTGATGTCACATGTTGCAAAGCCGTCGTCTTTGGGATGTAAGCAGCAGACGAAGAAGGGGGATACAACACTGTGGTGCGGGGTGAGTACGCAGGAGGGGCCACGGTGTTCGCATAGCCAGACGCACAGTGATGGCTGTATGCCACATGGGCCAAAGTAGCCAGGCCATGGTGTGATGGAGGGGGAGACTTTGGACGGTGCTGTGGATATGCCAGTCCCTCAAGCATCTGTGTAGGGGGATGTAGCATTCCTGTAGGTGTCGGGGGGTTTCCGGCAGTACTCGTGCCTCCCTCCGCGCTGCTCGGCCTGGAGATGGGGGAGTAGACTGGAGTGCGGTGCAGGGGAGAGGGACTGTTGCCACCCCCTTGATCATCGGTCTCCTTGCGGGCCAACGAGTCCTCCATGATGCGAGAGAGGCGCGCATTCACCCTCTCTGGTCGGGGTGGGATGTGCTGATTCACTATGTTGGCAGGTGTTGTAGCTGACATCATTGTACTCATGTCAACTGCGGCATTGATGATGCTCTGATTTGAAATCTCCAGTGTGCGTTCAATCTCCCCACTCACAAGATCTCCAATTGTTCGGGTCGCCACTAAACCCTTTTCGCCGCTTCCTAGCGCCTGCAGCTGCTGAGCAGATGCGGCTGCCAATTTCTCCTGGGATAGATGCCTCCTCAGAGCGAGCTTGGCTGGGGATACCTGCGTGTAGTCCGGCTGAGTAGACAAGTTCCTGCTGGACTGGACGAACGAGTCTTTTCCCCTGTATCTCTCCTCTTTCTTACACTCACGGCTTGCCTTCCCAATCTCCATCCCAGATGTTGCGCTGTAGCTGTTGGGGCCTGTACCCCCATAGTAGCTATTCCCATAACCGCCCGTTGATGTATTCACTGCAGAGGTGCTCATCAGGGCTTGCTGCTGTTGTTGACGATTCTGCTGATCCTCATTCAGAACGCTGGTGATGATACTCTTCAAGCGGTCCTCAAAGTTGGCAACACGTGGTGGCTGCTGAGCCCGGTTGCTTGTAAAGCTCACTGCCTGTTTGTTACCACCACTGGACCGCCCATGCTTCATCTTTGAGTCCAATCCTGTGGTGGAGCCATTCCTAGGGGGTGCATGAGGGACAGGAAGTGTCTCTGACGCTGACTTTCCTGCCGAACTAGATTGTGGTTGGTAGGAGTGATTGTTTGTCCCATGTCTGCCGTATTTGCCGTTGCTAACATGTGCAATGTCATGACCAGAGCTACCAACTTCACCAGCATTTGTGTGACTTCCATTAAACTTGGGAGTCTCCCTGATTTTTCCTGCCTCTATCTGACGCCCCGTTTCTAGGATCTTCTGTGCCAAGATCTCTGGATTGTTTTCTTCAATTCTGCCAATGTCAGGGACATCAGGCCAGTCCTGAGATCGGGTGCGGGTGTCTCGAGACTTGCGCTGCAGTTTTACGGTGGTGATAGCATGGTGATGATTGGCGACCATGAGGGGTGGTTGGAGAGGTGGGTGGGCATGAGGTACTTTCTCAGAGGGAGCAATGGGTGCCACTACGCTAGCATTGGTATAGGCACTGTTGATCTTCATGTTTGAGCTCACAGGTGGCTGCGATTTGCGGTCATCATTCACTTTTCCCAAGGCAGTAAGTTCTGATTCAAGCCGGGACACCTTCGAGTGCAGTTTCTTTCTATGGGACAGTGTGGCGGAGATCTCCTTCAAGATATATTCCTGGGTCAGACCTGACATATCAACATGCTGATTATTGGACATCCCATTCACCAGCCCTGACTTGCTGCACTTCTCCAGGATCTCCTGCTGACGGAGACTCACATACTTGGCTTGTTCGTGCTCAATCGACGTCACCTGCAACAAGACATCATAGTGCCATCATGACATAACCTGCCATTCTTTCTACAACGTAGCTGTGGTCTTAAGTAACTAGCAGGTGAAATATGTCACTCACTCCACAATGACCCAGTTACAAAAGTTGCTTGACCTGCGTGCGACACTGATCAACTGGTCACCCATTTTACCAATCCACTAGCCAAATGCAGCTGAACCTCTAAACCCTCAATGGTAACTATATGTACCACCTGCTTTAACATTCAGTAATTCTGCATTTTGCCTACAGTGTATTTATGGGTTTTATTATGATTCTCAATGCAAACAGCAATCACGACTCTGATCAGAACAAACCGGCTGATCTTCGTAATGGAGAAATATGTTTTCTTTGATCTAAGAGCTATACTGTTAAATACTACTTAGATTATCATTGGCTTCAAAAGGTTAACTTGGAAGATAGAAAAATTGGTTACTAGCGTGCTACAAGAATTTAGATACCAGAGTATCAAAACATATAGTGGGTTCTAGGAAACATGATTATATATCTGCAATGTGTTGAACAATAATTGTTTTACAAAAGAATTACGTTTATACAGACTATTTTAAGAGTAATAAAATCCCCCAAGAGAGGAAAATGAATGAATTACCAGAGAACAAAACATACCTGTGCCTGAAGCTTCGATGCCTTTGCCTGCAGTTCCTTGTGACGCAGAACTATCTCTTTTGCCTTCGCCAACAGGTCACCAGGAGAACTAGCATTGATACCAAGTTCTGACATGCGTGCCTTAAGAAGTGCCACACTGTCGTCAATCAGAACCTTGATCTGTTTCTCCAGCTGAGCGGCGCGGCTCTTCAGTTTCTGATTGCGCTCCTGTAAGAACCTCACTGTTATTACTGTCTTGTCATTAGAAATGCCCAATCTCAATGCCAAACTAATGACAAGGATAGCAAAAGTCAGAAGGCAGACAGGCATCTGCCTCCTCATCTGTGACATAACAAATATCGAAATCCAAAGGTTTTTACCCACAGTACACCATACAAGTTGCTATGAAAACGGGAACGTAGTAGCTACTAATACTTTTAAATGCTAAGAGAAAGAGCAGTTTGCTACAAAATGTAAACAGATATACTTGGTTCTGTATACAGCCGGTCACTTCATTGACCACGCAATTGCTGCTCATAAAAGTATGTCACTACCACGAACGTAATTCATATTTTTCCATTACTTAACTAACTCCTTTATAAGCTTCTAGTTTCATGTGGTAGTTTCCTTATGTTGGCTGTGTTTGCGTAAGCAGAGCATTTCGAAAATGGCATCTTACCTTGTCACGTTCAATCTGCAGGTTAACGTCGTCTCGATAACGAGGACTCTTCATCATTTCCACCATCTGCAAAAACTGTGCACGGTACATGTCCAACAAGATCTGCAACGCATAAGGAGTATCAGCGGGAGCAGGCGGGATGTCCAGCTCTGTGTGTACTGAATTGGAGTTCAGCGTGAGACTCGTCAGCTGCTGGTCCACACAGCCGGGTGCTGGAGGAGGCTTCTTCCCTATGGCTGCACACAAGGTACCAAGACATGCATCACATAAAAGGATCCTACACACAATCTGACGGACATAATGAATGGCCAGCAGATATACCGCTGTTTCAAGCAAGCATAGATTGGCAACTGACAGTCTATATATATGAAAGTGAAATGGTGCTCGGTTAGCAGTTACTCAATCGCTGACTGTAGGAATCACACTCACCTTGAGGGGATGTACTGAGTAGAGTCTGACTGTGCAGGAGGTCCAGTCCATTAATCTTAATTGTCTTCTTAGGCTTGCCCTTCTTGACCCGCCCCCTGGCTCCTTTCTTCGCCTGTGCTGTGACTCGCGTCTGCTGCATCATGGGTGTCGTCTTGCCGCCAGCACGAGGCAGCTTGCGACGAAGCTTTTTGGGTGGACGAGACCTGCTCTTGCCTGCATAAACACAGAGGACTTGTTGGCATGGAAAAAATATGGTCATGTTTCATGTATAAAACCACCCAAACAAAATCTTCGTGGGCAACCAGCTGCATCAAACGGTTACGCAAAGAAACCGACGTTTTGGGAACTCAATGTCCCTATCATATAAAAATTATGCCACCCAACAGCAGCAATTTCACATACACTTTTCCACTTGGTCTCTTCGCCTTAGGTTTCCTGACTAAACTTTTAAGTACGCCCCACCACTCCCTTACACCTTTCGCTTTATCACCTAACCTAACATTTTTTAAACCAACCGTTGCTGCTACTGTTGTTGTTCTCCTCTTCGCTCTGGCTGCTTTTGCCCTTGTTTGAGTTGGAGCACCAGTCGCTCCAGGCTCGACGGGTGGTGGGCCCCGTCACCACTCGGGACCGCGACGACATCGTGGCAACAGACGTGCTGTCATCACTGTCCCGTGAACTGTTGGAGCTGGTGTCCAAATTCAGCTGCTTGGTCAGGTCCCGACGGGCCCGATCCCGCGACGACCGCGGCGGAGTGTTCTCCTCCTCGCCGCCAGCAGACATCGTTCCAGACCCCGTCGATCCGCCTCCACCCTGCGTGCAGCAACACATTTGATACGCGCCTTAATTATATGCAAAACAGAGCAACAGGTTAGAGTGTATGCTCTGCAATGGTAACTGTGAGGACCACACAAAATATTGTACTGGCAGATCACATGAGGAAATTCTAAAAAGGAAGACAATGGCATGTCCCACAAGTGGGAGACTCTGCACCACCCACCAGTCCCAGCTTCAAACCAAACGATTTCGATCCCTCCACACCCTTAAGCTGCACGCTGTTGTATCCTGGCTAAAAACACTTGACACCAGTATCTTCAATGCAGGGATATATGCCCTGGTGTCATGGTGGGGTAAGTCCTTAAACATCTGCGACTACATTTAAAAGTGATATGTAGCAAGGCGTACAAAATGCTCCACAACGTGGGAACAGTCCGTTGAGTTCTCGTTAAGCTGACTATTGATTAACTTGTCAGGAAACTTTCTGCCTTCTATAGAACCAAAATGGAAAAACATATCCAATTCATTAATGAAATATTGGTACTCACCCGCACTTTTGGGTTCTTAAGCCGCTGGAAGTAGCGCTCAAGCTGAAACAAAAGAATACAGATGGAGGCTGAGGAAAACCATGTTACGCAGCAAATTTCAAAACCCTAGCCGGTCGACTTAGTTTCCGCACAGTGCATGGGGTTTGGCCCCAAAACAAGTCACTGTTTCTTGGTTCATCTAAGCAAAGTTTCCAACTAGTGATCCACAGCTGGATCATAAATTCCAGTTTCCAATACACACTTTTCTGTAGTTTTAAAACTACAATTTGCCATCATTCTTTTTCCCATACACTACTACATAAATTAAGCAGCTTCACTAGGTAATTCATGCCAGAACTTTCTTTCCTGAAACAGAGGCTACTGACGACATAAGTTCTTTCACATGTCCCACAAGCATGGATCTTCTTACGAATGTTCACTGTTTCTACCTCTGATGTCTTTTAAACGTTAATACTACACAGAAAAGATACTATATAAACGTGTATAGACAAGCCTGTTATTACTTGTACAGGAATGCTCGTTGACAGCAAACCGTTTTACCCGTGCGGAGTGAAAAGAGGTCAAGAATTTCTGTATTCTAACACTTCACCACTGCATCAGTTGCACATCATCAAATGTGGGTTTAATTATGAATTCAGAAAGATGACGTTGTGGTGTATGAAAATTCTCTTGCAGAAATCCAAAGAAAACCATCCAGAAGTACAAATTGCCTCCGTGTCAAAAGTAAGATTTAACAATACACAGCAACACTCGGTGAAACACGTACCTTGGTGCGATCAATTATGTGCAAGTAGTAGGAGACAGGTTTGCCAGTCCAGGAGACAGAGCCACGCAGTGGAGACATCTCAGAAACGTGCATGATGGTACCAATGTCTGGAAACAAGAACAAGTCGCACGGAGATGTCACAGGTCAACATCAAATTGTTGGGCAATGCCATGAGGTGGATGGGTCCTAGCTGCTGCCCCCAAGGCTCGCGACAGCGGAAAGAAAGGAACATCGGCGGTACAGAACAGGAGTTGCCAAATATCTGCCCACACTTCACATCACTTTCAACAAAAGTGAATAACTGCTGATGATAGGATTTTAAGAAGTAAAAGGAATGTCTAATCCATACGGAGCCAAACTACAGACTGGGCAGACAGACACAACTTTCGCACAATGTTGGCATAAACAGAAGATGATTTGCTGTATCAGTGGACATACTTAAACCTGCTCTGTACATCAACCAAAAACAAAATTCAATGACCTCGGAGAACGAGCATGCAGGACAGCGGGGGTGCCAACAGCTGCACGACTGTCAAGTGTCTGCTGCAACTGCAATTGTGCCGAACGCTGTTGTCTGATACGTCAATACAGAGGTCTGCGACCCAAGTCAGAGTTCATCACAACTGTATAGCACGAGAGGACAGACACCAGACAGATGTGCTGAGCTCATGAACAGATGAACATAAGATTGGATCCTATTTAAGTGGCTATTTCCTTTTGGTAAGTAAGAACTTTTGTAGTAGTCTATCCATCATTTGTAATACTGTGGTTATGTAAACGCTAGGTTTGATTTACAAGTAAATTTACAATTGGATTTTGAGAAATACGTCATGTGTGAAGTGCCTGTTTAAGGGACGTCTGAGAGACCAAAACTCATTTATGCTTTCCTACATGCAAGTTGTTACAGCATAAACAACTTTATCGAGGCGGGACACAAAAGACATGCAGCTGTTTCTCCCCGTTCGTGCAAATCATCCACCACAAAAACGCACTGCCCAGTACTTGGAAGTTTCTACAATATCCTTCCACATATGCTCAGTATAGTCCGCTCACCCGGGCTCCTCCCACATGAACGAAGTCTCTGTGAGCGAGCGACACTATTACACCAAGGCATGTTCTCAACGACATTCAATTCTCGCGACACTATAGACCGATCTAATTTTCTTGGCAAATATTTGGTGTAGATTATCTACACCAAATATAATTAAAATTATATAAACTGTTTTAAGAGTTGATAACCCCTCACTCACGCTATAGTGCAGGAAATTCTTTGAAATGTCGACTGTATACTCGCCTTGTCAAAGAATGGCTCACTTTGAGGAGTTGATACTAGAATTTAAAATCTTTATCAACACTAATAACCACAACATGACGTTAGGAAAAGCTTTTAAGTTTACATGGTCGCCTCACCCGAGCTATCTGAAACTAAGCCGGCAATAGTGAAAGAAGTATGGGAGGAGCCCGTGGAACCAATGTATACCAGCCCGCTTCTTACTCCCCCGATGACACAGGGCCCTCACGTATGTGCAAGCTACGCTAATCTTCTCCCCTGCGGGAAACTACATATATCCCTTACCCTCAACACCTGAAAAAAAAGACAGAGAAAGAAAGGTTATACAACAGCACGCTAAGCTGCCACAAAAGTCGACATCTCCAAATCAAAAGAATTATAGCAAGATTGTGCACATACGCACATTTTGGAAAGGTATTATTATTCCTAATCAACACAATGAGAGCTAAGCATGTGTCCACTACAGATACCACGCTTTGAACTTGTATAGGCAGAAAATATGGACTTGCGCACCACGGCAGCACACAGCTGCCACTACCGTACGTGCTACCCCACGCCAGCTAAGTCACAGAACTTTTCTGAACTAAAAATGTCACAATAAATAAGCAATTTTATTAAACCAGTACAATTTAGTACGATTTGTGGTTTCCAAGGTGGCGAGTCCAAACATGGCCACCTTCTGGGTTGTAGAGTCATACAGCCCATTAGAAGTTTGCCGATTACACGGCGCTATAACCCATAAGACAGCCATCTTCAGTACAGTTTATTTTAAGGAAACGTGAGCAACAAACAGATGCCTTTCATAGTTCAGAATAATATTTTACGATGAGTCTTATTTCAGGAAACATTCCTCAAATATGCAAGTCATATTCGACTGAGAAAAACTTGGTACTAAGGCCAAAGAAATTAGTTCAAAATTATATACGGTTGCTAAGGATACAAGTATCAAAAGTATAGTTATATGGTATTTACACATAGGTTGGAGACATTTTCTATGCCAGGATACACGTAAATACTCAATAATAAAGACTGGACACACGAGGTCTTTAAAGAATATTACCTACAGGCACCCGATAAACTAGGGGACTGTCCCAAACAGTAAACTTATCGTGCACCTTACCACTGAGGTTGCGATCCGTGATGCGGAAGTTGAGAGGGCAGAAAGACTTTGATGACACGATGCGAGCACCGTCCCTCAGGTCCGCAAAACGTTCTTTCAGCATGTGGTCGACAGTGGGGCCAAAAGCAAAGTTGTTGACAAAGACAATGGTGGCGCTGACAATCTTCTCCCGATGCTCGTCTGTCAGGAAATCTCCCTTGATGAGATGGTAGTCGCCGTATTTTTTGCCATACCAGCGCATCCACTTGCGAAACAGCACGTTCATGCTCTGTGGAAACAAGGGCCAGGCCATGTGACATGTGGAATCTTGTATCTGCCTCAACTTTTCTTGCATTCATGGAATATCAAATACATTTTAAATGCAGAGAATGTTTTATACACATTTGAAAGAAGCTGAATGCAGTGTAATCATAATTTTTAATTACTAAATTTAACGGTGAAAATGATGACAAAATTCACCGAACTAGAAGCCCAATGGGATTCATTTCGATCCACTTGCGTACTGAGGCTAAGTATAAGGTAAGAATCACAAAAATTTCCTAAAGTTTTTTACAATCATTTTGGGAAACGCCACATTTCATTAGCAGTAGTACTGTTTCACAAAAAACTATTTTGCAATGCCTAACCTCTTTCCTGATATCCCAAGTCTCAGTGATCACAATGGCTGTATGCATCACAAGCCAATCTGTCACCTGCCGTTTTTCAAACATTCAAACACATCACATTTTGGGTGCAGCCTCACTAAGTGCTCCTAGCTCTTCAGAACATCTAGAATTCAACTTGAAGGACTGTTTTCAAAAACAATAAACCCTTTTGTGGCGATCTGTGCCTTTACACACAAGGATCACAATTCAAATATTTGCTTGCCAAACAGTAAAATAACTGGCACATGTAATTAATTATTTATTTCTTCAGAAACTGTCAAAACACATTCCAGCATATTGTCATCCAATCTTAATCAAATTCAATGATGGTGATCAATTTTAACAAAGCAGGTGGGAAAAACACCAAAATCTGAACGTTCAGACACGAATACCAATGGACGAACAAGATAGACAACCATGCAATAAAATTTCTACAGATTTTTTTTTTTTAGGAATGCTTTCTCCATTCTTGAACATTTACAAATATCAGGTACAACACATATATACACGCCCGCACAGCTCGACTGTGGCCACATTCTTCACGTGTCTGTGCTGCTGCTTGGATGCAGACGCACAACGCACTGCAACAACAATCACAATGAACACCGCACACACTGACAACACTGGCAGGCATAGGAGAGGCTTCTTGGGGGGTGCGGGGGGCAATCAGACTTCCAATGTCAATGAGGCACGCGAAAGGCCCGATTTTCAACGCTTCCGCTACCCATTTAAATCCATTAGGGCGGACTACAGTCTTAAAGCTCCTGGCTCTGGTCAACACAAGTGCACTCTTACACAAAACACAAAGGACTGATTGAAGATGTTTGTGCCGTGATCTGCGAGTGATATTGCGGTCCTAATGGTTTAGTGAATTGTCTGAGGTGCAGGTAACATCTAGAGCTCAGTGGAATTACATTTTAGTACTATGACCATGGGTTAAATTCAGAAAACACTTTTGACTGCCTAGACCACCTGCAATGTCCAAGAACCAGCCCAACTTACAACAGCTTCTGCTGTAAGAACTACTTTATATGCCCATAATTCAATTGCTTGACTCACCTGAAACATCCAGAATGCTTAATCTGCAATGTCCACACTAACCATAACAACCTTCAATTCCCAAAACACTCCACCAAAACGACGTTCGAGCCGAACGGCAGTAATGTGGATACACTATTGACAAGAAACCTTGACAGACATGATCAGTAAGAACTAGGAGATGCCAAGCATTAACAGACAACTCCTATCAGATCCCACTCTCCCTTTTCCACTTCTTTTGCCTCGCTCAAATAACATTTTGACGTGCTGTAGCAACAGGCAGCGAGGACTACGGATCCTTAAATACCGGCGACAAAGCAGTGCCCCGACACGGCACGCCTCCGGCCAACAACTCAGTCGCAAAACTGGTTAATATTGTAGTGTTACTCAAGCTCTCCTAGCAAATGACCTAAAATAGGTCATAAGTGTTCTCACACAAGTAATACTTCACAATCATCCCATCATTTCCTGGCTGAAACTAAGCAACTTCCGCAGTTGGTATGCTTCTACAAAACAACTGAATGGTTTCCCTGGTCCTAAGCTTCAACCAAGCGCCTTGCTTTGCACTGGAACACAGACTGCGTGGCATCTCCTGGACAGGAGGACTGCTGGAAGTAAGGAATGCCTACAACGTGCAAACACTTCAATACATGGCACTCCCTCGCCATGTTTCAGAAACATCGCTCTCAGCAGCAAAATGTCAAAGTCTTAATAACTCTTTCAATGTTATAATTCAATGGAACAGCTGTCTTAGCGCACAACGGCGCTAACTGACAAATGTCACAGTTATATATATATGGCATATGCCTGGAATAAGTATTAAAAATACATGGGATTTGAGGTTTGGTGAAGACGTCAATGTCGGGCCTCCAGGTTTTAATGTCGCGTGGGCTTGCAGGTAGATAGATACCAACATTTTGGAGAAACATACAGGACTGTTCCTCTGAAAGGATGGTATGTAGCGACAAGTCCACGCAGTGTTAAAGCCACAAGGCCAAAAACGACTAGTATGAAAACAAACATTACGCCGCGCTTAAGCACACGGTGGAGCCGAGACTGTACAGACAGCACAAAGCTCAAATACATGTGCAGGCTAACACTGAAAGGGTTAAACGACTTAATTAACTCTCCAACTTTAAAGGTAAGTAATTACATATACCAACTCCAATTAAAAAACTGTCCCCTGGTCGTAATGAGACGCAGAATCTGCAGGTAATCCTAGGCGACAATTCTTTCCTTGGAATTAACCTCTTCACTGTTATCAACTGAGTTCTATGATTAGTTTTGTTTCAGAAATCCAGCAGCAAAATGTAAAAAATAACACATTTAAAAACAAATTCAGTTTCAAACTTGTGGCAAATGGCATTCGAGCGTGAAACCAGCCGTGAATGGCACTTCAACGTAAGAAGAGAAAAATTTCAGGCACACAGGACTGAAATAAGAGAATGAGAACTCGGGGGGGGAATGCCGTCTCACACGAAGCCAATTCACGTACATTCTTCAACAACAGTGAAAGGGTTGACACACCAAAATGTAAACGTTAATGCAAACAAACACCACCACACTGCCCAAAACTGCCAGCAAGTCTAGGCAACAGGAAGAGTCACCCATACAAGAATTTAAAGTCTCACTATACCTCACACACAACCACAGCTCAGAAGCAACGTCTCTCACGTAGACCTGCACGCCCAAAAACTACGTTAAATTTACCAGATGTCAGAAAGATAATGCCTCAGAGCGACAAATACAGGAAGGCTCAAAAGGTGGCCAATTTGATGATAAAGCGTATATCAATGCCCTGGCCATCACATAGGTATCGAGAACACCGAAAGGCAACGTCCACCCAATTAACATCTCAAAGTTTAGACAACGGAAAACTGGGCAAATGTGTGCTGATATCAACATGGTGAATTCATGACCACAGGTGGCAGCAGTGAGCACCAACTATGTGTTACCTATTGACTGACAACAGGCACTGTATCCCCTCACCTGGGAGCGCCATCATCCATCAACAGAAAAGCACACGATGCAGTGGTCCCTGTTTCACACACGCATAACCAAAGCTCAAGCACAGACTATCGTCAACGTGCTGACCCACATCCCCATCGACCCATCTCGAGTACCGTTTGTGGTTCGTTACGAGTCCAATATGACCATTTAAAGCAGGGTTCTAAACCTTTTTTCAGACCCACAGACACATTTGCCTTTCCTACTGACTCACAGGCTGCAAGGTTATAAACGAGAAAAATTTATTAAATCGCCATGGCATCCTACTAATGTTATCTCCCAATCTGACATATTGCATTAACCCTGTAGGTACCACACACTTCTAAACACGTGCGACACTTTCCACGCCACCGACACAGCACGCTACTACAGAAGCGTCTGATGAGTTTCCTTACTGCGAGATTTTCTGACTCAGATCGATAAGACTAATGAAATTTGATGAGTTTCCTTACTGCGAGATTATCTGACTCAGATCGATAAGACTAATGAAGTAACGGAATCTGACATCCACATGAAAGTTAGAAGTAGGGGAACACATATATATGTCTCAGTGTAATGGTAAAATTTTGTATTTAAAAGACAGGCTTAGGTTGGCAATGTTAAACGCAGTATATACAGTAATAGAAACACAACTAATGTCTATAAACCTCATCTGATTTACAATCATGGGGGGGGAGGGAAGGAGGAGGACATGTATTAAAGACAAAGTAACATGAAACATGTGAAGGCCCCCCCCCCTCCCCAAAAAGACTTGCACAGGCATTAAAAAGCCTGTAAAATAGGATTAAACTGTACAGTTTCTCAGAGAAATGAGTACCGCCAAATACTGACGACAGAAACTGGGTTTACTCTCTGACATCGGGCACCAAGTTATTTTACGTCATACAGGGTGCATGGACTGCACAAAACTGAAACACAGCCTACAGGCTGAGAACCCGATGTCCTCCCATCCTACCTCCTCGAGATTTGATCATGAAAGACGACAAGTACAACTTATAGAGCGATTTAACGTGTGTAAAAATCCCACAAATATATATCGGCAACGTACAATACCACATCTCGACAACCCACAGAAGACACTTCGGCCATGTTCAGGCAGGATCTTGATGAAAAAAACACGAATGTTATCTGCACCCATACAGGTTACAAATTGCTCACTCAACACATTCACATTTCCTTATGCAAGACGCTCCCCTGACAAGATAAGAATGCGACGTCATCTCCATTTCCACCATTATTTTTCAAAACATTACACAATTTTCCCCCTCGCAGTTTGTTTCTACTGCATGCACATAGGAAAACTGAATTATCTGTTTCTTTCTGGTAAGCAGTGAATGTTCTCTATTTACCTGCACAGCAACGACAAAGCAACTACCAGTCGGCTCCTGACGCTCACAGCTAAGTTTCCAATTCGAAAAACAACATTTCTGAAGATGGCTGTCTTATAAAATTGTATTGTCATTTAGTCCGGTAGAAGTCTACCAAAGCTTCAGAGGTCCCTGCTACCTCCACCACCAAGGCAGTGATGATCATGACGGTGGAGACAGCAAGGAACCCTGAAATGTCGCCAGACTTCTACCAGACTACGAGGCGCGACAACCCAGAAGACAGCGATCTTCAAAATAACAACACACACACCTCATCACCATGGAAACTATACGTCCTCCCATCCTACCTCCTCGAGATTTGATCATGAAAGACGACAAGTACAACTTATAGAGCTCTTCGCTCTATAATCTTTCCCTGCCTCCTGTTACTTTCTATTGTTCATATCCAAATATTCTCCTTCTGCAATTTGTGGTTGAACTGAATAAATATGCGCCTACTAATGGCACTGCAGCTAGCAGCCACGCCTGTGAATCTTCATAAGAAACACAGACTCGCACGGCGCCTACCGAAGAGCCGAGTGAATCCATAGTAGCTAATCACAAGTGACAAATATTCTGAAACAGCTGTTGTTGTAAGACGTTAAATGCCCGCAATAAGACTACTGAAGACCCTTTAATAAAAAAAATACACAAACAAAAACATTTAAAATTCAATCATGATTCTGTTCCACTCGTTTCAGGAGCCAGGAACCGGCAAATGAACCGACCCTGAAAGAAACGCGACTCACCTCCGCATACTTTGAAGGAACTTCCGCCCTCTCCACCCCGAAGCAGATCTTGCACGGAGTTGCAGCTGCCATCTGGAGGACAACTTGCCCAACACCAGATCCCAAGTCGACAAAGACGTCGTCTTTTGTGATCTCGATCTGGTCGATCATCTGACAGACAAGGTCATATGATGTCTCTCCGTATACCTGTGAGCCACAAGACCAATCAGAACACACGGCCACCCCAAGAGGTCCTGACGACAATCATTCGAATGCTTCGGTCTGTACAGTACAATATAAAATGTTGTAAGTAATCCATTTCTGTACATAATGTTTTGATTCCTGCTACTTTACATCTGCATAACAAAAGCTCAAAGTTACCGTACTTTTAATCGTGACGATTCAAATGCATTGGAATTACTGGAAGGAAATAATTTAAAAAGTATTAGGTTGAGTGGACTCTAGATGCCCACAGACAGCAGAACTACGAGAAAACAAAACACTGGAGCGGACGCTGGTTCAAACCACTGCGTGAGACACAAATTGAACATCTGACGAGCACCGGTGCCTCACCTCTGGCGAGAAAGGCTCATACTGGTTCAGCTTCTCGGGGTCGCTCACGGCCTGGTTGTACACCTGCTGCAGGATGTGTCGCAGAAGTCCCCGTGACGGGTGCTTGTTCAGCCTCTGGGCTGGCAACGACGTGCCCTTCTCCTACAACAGAGACAATAACTTCGGTGGTACACACACACACACGACGTCATCCCGGTTATTTCCAAAACCATCGTTCCACGAAGGAATTCCCGAATATGCATTGTAATATTTTGTTTGTTTGTGGACCATTCTCTGATCTGGCTCGTGCATCCATTTCTCAAGCGATTTGGAACTTTCCGATAATCCAGGTACGTCGCCAAAATCTGTGCGCCAGCTCTGGAGCTGAAACGTGCGGGCGGACGGACGGGCAGAGACAGATACGATACCATAACTTTTTGAACTAAGTGACCGACTTTTGAAACTCGGTATGAAGGTCATTCTAGCGTTGTTAATTGTAAGCACATAAACGTACAGATGTTGAGGCGAGCTACTCGCGGGTCAACATCCCCGGCGTGGCCGACCTTGACAGAGGAGTATTCAATCAGGGGCCCGTGACCGCGGGGGGGCAGACCGGTCCGAGCCCCGATTACAGGCAAAATTCGGCCGAACCGTGACTCAATATAACGAGAGTGGGTGGGGTTTTCGAACCGACATTGAAACTCACGGGGCAAATTTAAATCACAAATGCAATGTGAAAGCTATTTTACATGGAGCTAAGCTCTATGGCCAATGAATACAGTTCTCACACACACGTGACTAGGACATGATTGCTCTCGGATTTTACTTCGAGGCGGGAGCCGGGGCACAAACCCTCATCACCTCATCATTTCCAAACCATCCTCAGCAGTTGACACAGCGTCGTTACAACTGCATAACGCGCGCCTGGGGAGGGTTTTTGTCAGGGTTGATGTCATCACGAGAAAGTGAAACGAGCGTCAAGAGTCGCCAGATGGTGACGTCACTGCGCGAGGTCAATCGATCGGCGTTCCCCCACACACGTCATAACGGCACACGGCGGCCGGGCACCGCGAACCCTTTTCCAGCGTTCTCCATCTGCACCCAGATCGACCAAGTGGCATCTTTCCCTTCTTCAGAAGGCGATACATCCGCCACGCGTGCTACATGCCTCGACCATCTCATCCTACGCGCCAAGGCCACATTTCATACGATCCGCCCCGTCACGGCAGGAGATTCTGAGGAAAACCTATCAGGACGTGACCGGAATTCGAAGAGCTCACCCGCTGGGCGAACACCGGCGCCGTGGTCTATCCCCCTTTAAGGGGGACGGGATCCGCGCGCTGTATCGAGCGCCAATGAGTCATTGCCCCGAGCTGCTATCACAACACAGCACGGCGCGTGCCAGCACCAACCGACCCTCCTATCAGCTCACTGTGAAGCGGGCTTGAACCTTCTCGATCGTGTTCATATCGAGAGCGAAGTCGAGATTTGTCTGAGAATTACTGCGAGTGCCCCCGCTCCCAGTTTAATTAATTTCTGCGTGAAACATGGGGCAGTGACCCCCGGCAAGTAGCACGCGTCGCGCCGAGAGGGCTATTTTTAGTCAGGGCATCGCGACACGGTTAGGCTCCCTTGGGGCTCCTCTACTGCCCACAAAACAAATATAAACAGTCGTGTTAACCCTGTCAGCCCAGCAAACAGTTTCGTGTCTTACTTCTCATTTTATCGCATCGGTTCTGAACACCGTAATAAACCTTCTTCGACCTCCATGTCTGGACGCTTTGCCCCGTGGTGTCGGTAAATAGCCCTCAGACTGAAACCACACAGGACCGAGTTACAAGACTGCTGTGTGCGCCAAACGCGGCGCCCTCGAAAGGGCAGGAGATGCATTCATTAACTTCCCTTCGCACACTTTTTAAACAGCTGAGGACACGTCCCGCGAAGGCGGCTCAGAAATCAATACCAGCCGCCCTTCTGCGTTCTGTCAGGCGCGTCACGACTTGAGACCGGATCCACTTCGCAGGGAAACGAGGAACCGAACAAAATTCAGGGCACGTACCAACGTTTCGGAGAGACACACTGCCTCCATCTTCAGTGATGCTGATTGTATCTACCTACAAGCCGTGAGAACCTGAAACCATTATTCATATATGCGTTGAGCCTCCTGAAGACGATCGATTTTTGTGTGTGAGAAAGCCCGTTTTCCACGTGGACTCTCGGGCGGCTGAACCACTGGGCCTCGAATCCCCCCCCCCAACCCCACATGAGGTTCAAACGTGTGGTCGCGAGAGTCGACCTCGCACCCACGGGTTCTGTGTGAAACAGATAATCGTGAACTTTAAAGGTCATGACCTCACTCGCAAGGAAAGAACCGTGCGCAGGCGCATTTGGGTGATGTGGGATGTGACACGACGTTTCGGTATGACCTAAGACAGACGAGCACTTGGCCTCTTTATTTTTTTTTTGTAAGAAACAGTGAAGACACGTAAGTTGGAGCGTCTCTAAACCCAGGACCAATTACAAGAAGGCGAAGGGGTCAACGCATTCTTTACGGGACCACGAGAAAGACTTTTGTACGCGGAGGCAGAAGCCCCGAGTTCAAATCTTGGCCGGGCATGTAACTAGAGACGAGCAGCGGCTGTGGCCTACTTTTTAAGGCGCACTGCCATTTCTTTTTTGTTTCCTCAAAACTCCAATAAACTTCCTCTCAAACAGGCTACTCAACGCCCGCAATCGGGGACAAGCACGTGCGGCTGGCATCGTGCACTTCAAGGGCGGATAAACAAACAAGTTTTTACACGATCTTAAGAAACGTTAGCGACTCGCGTGGCTGATCACGGCAAACAACTGTCAACGCCGGTGACCGCTCCACGGATAAACGCGAGTGGGCTTTAGTCCTACAACCAACCACGCCTAGAGGCCAGGAAGCGATCGGAACGACTTTAGGGGACGTGGATTTCTTCTCAGCTGTGTGGTCCAGAGGGCGCAGCCTCCCAACTTCAAGGATGGACGTCTTCAGTGCTGTCAGAACCTCAAACCTCACCTTACCTCGCCCTAATAATATTTTCTTATAGATTAAGGCTTTGACCGGGATGTTCTTTTGTTAAATCTTATGTGGTACCGCCTGATTCGACTTCTAATGGTTAAGTGAAGTGTTTTCTTCGCGGTACGGTCTGGATTCATAAATAATATTCAGACGAGCTTCGGCTTCAAAGGGTTAACCAGCTGATTTTCGTAATGGTGAGGTGTAGTGTTTTCTTCGCGGTACGGTCTGGATTCATAAATAATATTCAGACGATCTTCGGCTTCAAAGGGTTAAACAATTCCCAATGCAGCATCCTTTCGCTTCATATCTCAGAGACCTGGCTTCACACCCACTCACCAGCTGCACGATGCTGTCAATGGCTCGATTGTATCTGTCGCAGAGCCCCTTCATGCTCTCGTAGCTGCAACAAACAACACACGTCACTTGGTGTAAGGCGAGGAAAACACACGAGGAAATAAAGAGAACGAGGCGATGAGGAAGGACGCTCACCTCCTGGTGTCGTAGTCCGCCAGAATGTTGTTCTCCATCGGCAGCTTCAGCTCCGGGAAGTCGTCACACACCCACCTGTAACGAAACAGTAGCTACAGTAATGCTTTCCGTTCCGGTAAAACCTGTGACATCGTCCATCGCGATGACCATTTTAATTAATTAATTAATTAACTACTAAATCGGTAAGAAAGAGTTAGTCGAAGTCTCGCAACTCATCGTCCTGATAACGGAGGCAGCGAGGACCTCCGAAACGTCGGTAAACTTCTACAACGTTACAAACCACAAGACAGCCATGTCCAATCACACAACTGCTCGCAAACCCCCCCCCCAAAAAAAAACTAAATTTAATTAAAATCGGGCTAGTTGGTTCAGCTGCGCTCGAACGCAAGCAACCTCAAGGACTGGGTTCGATCCTCGGTAACAAACGGGAGAACGCGGGCGACAGCCACGGGAATAACCGAGAGAGCTGCCCCTCGCACATCCTTTTTATTTCTCATTCCACAATGGAATATTCAGCAGTTGATGCAGTGTCGGTGGCCCTCGAGTCGCGCGTCTCAACGGAGAGCGACCTTGCGCGCCCATTACGGTCCGGGGACAAGGCGTCACGTGGCCTTCACCGCCCGAACACTCCCGAGTTCAACGGCCGCCGGAGCTGCTGGACGCGGCGCGCGTCTCGTATTTCGACGAAATTTGGCATCCGGTCAAGGTCTACACTGGATTCATTTGGGCCCGTGGGGATAAAATCGAATTTCGTGGACCTTCTCAGAAATTACAGGCTGATCGACCGTGTAAATACAGACTTATAATCGATTCAACGTTTCGGAGACTATTCCTATGTCCATCATCAGGGTACATGTCTGTCAACTAGCGACGTCCATTTATTTTTCTAACAACGCACAGCTGCATATTCAAACACCAACAGTCATAAGTTAGGTTTCTTTTCTTTTGATTAAGAAGACAACAAAAGTTAGTTCTGAAATAAGAGAACGAATTAAGATGGTTTAGCAAGGTAACTGCCTTGAAATAAAACATCAGCCAAACACACATCAACTTTAAAATCAAAGTTATTCAACACATGTAATATTACGTCATGAGAACGACTTAAGTCGGTTCAACACGTCTCAGAGAGATATTACGTGTCTGAAGAGAAAATAACACTTCGATGGCCCCACTACGGCACCCGGAATTCATATCAAAAAGGCCAACAAGGTATCAGAAAGTCTTGTCGGTACTCCAAACAGGAGTACCTTGCGGATCATACCACACTAAGCAGGATTTGAGATTCTCAGGAAGCTGAGTACCAAGAAGGCTGCCTTCTGGGTTGCAGCGCCGTGCAGTCTGGTAGTAGTTTACTCATCGCCCTGATGATGGAAGCAGCAAAAACCTCCGAAACGTCTATAAACTTCGGACTCACCGCCGTGAAAACCTCAGATCCTAAATGCATTCGCGACATCTGTTTCGCCATTCACAATTCCTTCGTCTAAACGTGCCTGCAATAAAGCTGCTTTCAGTCTCGTTTTGTCATCACAGCCGAACGAAGAACCTGTTGAAGGCGGAATTCCGAAGGGACCGGAGGTTCTTCCATCTTTTTTCCGTGCATCTGTTCTATATTTACGGATAACAGAAGCCAATGCACAGTTGAAACCCATCAACGTCCACGAGACGTGCGCCCACACTTGACAGCTCTTCTAATCTTTCGTTCCATTTCACTTTTCAAAGTATTTTGCACACATCACGTGGACGGCAAGCCTCGATTATTTCCGACCTGTGGCAAGAACGTCCCTCCTCAGACAAAAATCCAGGAACACGGCACACCGAAGCAGGCTTCATTCCGCTAATTTCCCCCGTCAAAAAAAAGGGTCCGGATGTACCGGAGCGTCCACTCCGGGCGTCGGCGCGCTACGAGCGGGTAAATGGGTGACGTCACTCCGACTGGACCACACCTCGGAGGGTAACAGACTGAGAAGGATTTAAATTCAATGCCAAATGCATGTGAAACGCACGGAAACGTGATGTCACGACTCCCGGCTGCATTACAAACAGATGAACCGTCAAATACCAAATACAGAATGTCTGTCGCTCGCACCGTACAGAGGCACGCGAACTGCTTTACTGCTTCTCCGTCGGACTGACAAAAGCACGGTCTCAGCACTGTTCTGGCGTCCAAACTTACACTGACAACACCCTGTATTTACTGCGGTGACGTCACGACGTCCTTGTGTCCGCCAATCATGTCTCGCGTCACGCAGCAGGAAGCCATGACGCGTGGGTCGAGAGAGGTCTATGAATCATGACGCACCAGGAAACTGCTAGAAATTCTGCGGCACAGCTGATAGTCGCTCAGGCAGCCTTTTCCGTCACCGCGATCACCAGTCACAACACACGAAGAGGCCTGAACTGTGCCGCTGCGCTAACCGCCTGTCGGTCGGTAAATATGAACCCTCCTTTAGCGATCATTTTACCGAACAGAGATCCCCGCCACTTCATCGCGCAATCACAAGACTGGTATCATTTCGGGGGGAAAGGCGACGAACTGGTCAGAGAAGCTGGGGAAAACCACGAAGAACGCGATGAAGAAAGCAGATAGCCACCTGAATATCGTGAACATGGCGACGAACCAACCATCAGGGAGGGGTGGGAGGTTCAGGGCGAACCAAGTCAGTCACTCGGCACATCTCACACAGAAGATTTATGTTAAAATGGACCAGAAGCAACCGAGAGGATGTCGTTCTGGCGGCCAAGAGCAAACTCAACTCTGAGCGACGCGCAGCACGAGTTCAATTAAGGTCACATCCCTCACACCACATAACATTTTAATATTATCAACGTCTGGAGTCATTAAAATGCGGAATTTTCTCTGGAGTTTTCCAAACAAAACGCTGTACTCTTTCATCGGCTGAGTCTGAGATGAGAAGCGTCTGACGACAATGGAGATCCGAACGATAAGATAACTTGAAGGCGATGCGTCATCTGGAGATTAATTTGGTCGGCGAAGGAAATGACTGGAACAAGCCTTGTGTTGGCAACACTGACAACTCTGAATGCAGAGGAATTCCATCAATATGGACGCCTCGGGATGTCAACAAGGTGCCAGTTGGTCGACCGCGTTCACCGAAGAACGCGCTTAGCCGATGCCACGACAGCGGTCGACTCACATTCACGCCAATAGCCTGGGGGGGACTGCGGAAAATCGCGAGGACCGACAACCGAACTGGAACTAAATTTGATGTAAATCTGTAGTGCCTGGCGACACAGGAGAGGGAAGGGGGCAACGACCCGCGAGGTTGCGAGCAGTCACTCGGTCGCCTACGCCACTGTTCGGAGGAACTTGACCTCCGCGCGAGGCTCCACGACTCTCTCAGGTACTGGGAGCAGCTGACAGCCACTGGACCCCTACACTGACTCTTTCATTCCAACCCACATCAAGATCAGTTTTAATAGTATCGCTCCACCTGCGACTGCATCTCCCCATTGGCCTGTTCCCTTCTGGTTTTCCCGACTAAAACTCTGTGTGTATTTTCCTTTGTTCTCGTTCGTCCTACCCTCAATTTGGTCATTCCAGTGATCGTATATGCAAGTTACAAACTGTGAATGAGGTCTGAGATTCTCACAGCGGTGAACTGTGTTGTCTCGTGGGTGTGGGCGGGTTGCCGACGAACGTTTGGGAGCAACGTACCGCCCCAATGTCCTACAAATTACAAAGTTCCTCCCGCATTCTCGTCCTCGCGCCGAGAGCCAAGCGCAGGAAGGCCTCTGCCACGGTCCGCGATGTCCCACGCCCTTAACACTGATAATCAAAAAACCTTGCACACAGTCTACATTCACGGCTCCTCTCCAGAGCTTCCTACCGACAGAAAACAATTCATAATCCCACATTCATTGTAAGTAGACGATACGAATTGCCATCATCCTGTGCCCAGGATCTCTCCACATTTCGGTCCGCGATTAATAACTTCTTTTGACAATCTCGCGTCTTCCGGGGCAAAGCACCTCATGTCCAACGTTCACTGTGTCTCGATATCGACTCAGGTCGACTTTTTTATTTCCAGTTTCGGGATGGGACCCGTGGCCTGGCTGCCGGGACAGTGCGCCGTTGAGCCGGGATCGACGGAACGGAAAACCAGGTCCCCCCGCCACAACAAGTCGCCCAGAATAGATTCGAACCGGACACCCACAATTCGGACACCGCTTGGTGTAAGGAAATGCACTGATGAGTAGGATTCGGGCGCTGCAGTCCGCGGATCCATTCCAGGATCACGTACATTCCAAGGCCTTAAAGCAAATCGTCACGGCACTAGATGGCGCGAGTTGGCAGCACTGCGTGCTACCACCCTACCTGGCCCCTGCACCGAGTGCACTGACTCAGTGACGAGGTACGTTCCTGGAACACACGGGGGAAACCACCTACAAGCAACTTCCTCTCGCACACATGACGTACACGTCCTCGGGATCGCCCGAAAATCAGCCACGATGTGTCATCCGCCTTACAGAGTTCGAACCTAACAAGACGCACGAGGAACGTGGCGACCTACGGACGTCAATTGTTTCTCTCAGCCTACGAAGACAACTCGTTGGCCAGAAAACTGGATGGTTCTATGTGCCCTCCAACAAGCGGTCCCGTCCGCCGCTGTCCCAGAACGGGATGACAGGAAACCCGTGTGCGCTCACGGGCGGGTTTACAAGGAAAACCAGTCTTAAGGGGGGGGGGGGGAA